TTATTTATTAGTTCCCTAAATAGAAGAACTAGAGGACACCACATGAAATTAATGGGTAGCAGGTTTAAAACTAATAAAAGAAAGTTCTTCTTCACACAGCGTGTAGTCAACCTGTGGAACTCCTTGCCAGAGGAGGCTGTGAAGGTTAGGACTATAATAGAGTTTAAAGAGAAGCTAAATAATTTCATGGAGGTTAGGTCCATAACAGGCTATTAGCCAGGGGATAAAATGGTGTCCTTGGCCTCTGTTTGTCAGAGGCTGGAGAGGGATGGCAGGAGACAAATCGCTTGATCATTGTCTTCGGTCCACCATCTCTGGGTTACCTGGTGCTGGCCACTATCGGTAGACAGGATACTGGGCTAGATGGACATTTGGTCTGACCCAGTACGGCCGTTCTTATGTTCTTATGTAAAATATATATGTAGATTTCAGCTACATTATGGGTTAAATAGGCTTTTGTGGGCTAGCCTGGGAACCTATCTACCATTTACAACATTGTTTCTATGGTAAAATGTGTTCCAAGTTCCAAAAAACTGATTTACAAATAAACTTTTGGAACACAACCCATTCATAAATTGGGGACTTCCTCTAATTTAAATTCTCCTGCTTCATCCATTTGAGAATCTTTCTAAAGTAGAATACTGTGATGGCTAGCCTTTTTTAAGCTTTTGTGTATTTTAAGAGAATGCATGTTAAAATGGCTCACTGTACAACAGTTAAACCAGTTTGCGCTAATAATTGAATATTGTTACATATACATGTAATTGTATGCATACATGAATGCCAAAGTATATATGATTTATCTGCAACAATTTTATTGTATGTAATAGAAATATGTTTTCTAATGGGTGGTATGCTAGTTTATATTCACTACTTTTATTAGAAAAGCCCAGAACTCTTGAAAACTTTGGAAGTGTCTGAGTTGTGCTGCCAAGAGGAAAACTGTGCATCTATAAAATGAACAGATGCTGAAGATTTTGAGTTCTTGCGTAGTTTAAATTAAATCACTAGTTCTGCACAGAGTCAACTGATCAACAGTTAACATTTCTGTGTGCTGTGCTACACATCTATACATTATGTGTATTTATGTAACGTGTCTATTGTAATAACCTGTTGGTTAGTTTGTAGACTGTTTTGTGTTGATGTACCTGGATGCTCAGTGCATTTGAAAATGAGGACTAAATTTGGACTTACGGGCCTAGTTTTAGGCCTTAATTTTTTTTATAATCTTGACCAGCACAGTAGCACTAATATTTATTAAACTGCTTCAGGGGGTAGCTGAGTCAGTACCATATACATGTTTTGTTAAGTCTCTAAAGTGCTACCAGACCATTTATTAAACTGACACATCTTGTTTAAAATGCATAATAAGAATGTACAGGCAGTCCCCGGGTTACATGGATCCGACTTGCATCGGATCCCTACTTACAAACGGGGTGAGGCAACCCCGCACTAGCTGCTTCCCCCCAGCAGACCAGGGAGACGCGGAGCGGCTTTTCTCAGCAGACACCTCAGCTTGACAATAAAGGACTGAGAGAAGTGAGGTGTGGGAGAATAAAACTGAGCTCTGGAGAAATGTTTGGCTAGAGTTTCCCCTACAATATGTACCAGTTCCGACTTGCATAAAAATTCAATTTAAGAACAAACCTACAGTCCCTATCTTGTACGTAACCCAGGGACTGCCTGTAATGGAAAATTTGAAAAGGTTGAACATGTGTACTGATGTGGTGAAGCAATCATATATTTCATTCCTCTTCTTTCCAAACTGCAAAATACTAAAGAATTTGGTTTCTTCTTTAAAAGGGCAAGGTTGCCAAGCAAACTTATAATTTTTCTAGAAGTTTTGTCATTGGGTTTTAAATTAAATAGGGAAGAGCAGATATCTTTCTGAACACTTTCCAGGGGGCAAAGGTTTACCTTATTATATATTCCTTCCTACTAATTTTCCTTAGGCACTACTAATGCTGAACCAAACTAGTTGACTAAAATGCTGCTTTTGTTGAACTACTTACAGAGATGGTCTAGCTCTCTTAGACTAGATAACGAGCTTTCATCACTTGCATGTTAGGATGATCTCTGGAATGCCTGATTTCTCTCACTTTTAATGCAATGATTTGTGACTTTTGTTTCTCATCTTTCCTGTCTGTTTGACTCTCTTGTGTTTGTGCTTTCCACTTTACAGGCATGCAGTATGGTGGATATGTTAATAATCAAGCTAGCTCTGCACCAGCTCCCTTGTCATCAAGTTCAGATGATGAGGAAGAGGATGAGGAGGATGAGGAAGCAGGTCTGCTTTAGCTTTAAACCAGTATATTGCTTTTTTCCTACCCAAGTTTTGTCATCATTTTTCAAATTCCTTGAAATAATTAAAAATAAAAAATGTAAACCCAAAAGTAGTTGTGAGTCTTCAGACACCTAGAAAGCTAAGGGGAAATTTCTAACTATTGTATGAATGTGGTAGTTAAGAAGGAATGTAGCAATTGGCAATTGTTCAGGTTTTTTCCTCTGAGTAATATGCATCTAATTTTATAGTGTAATGGTTGTACTTTCTGAGCCTTAATTTCAGTATTCTAACTTGGAACAAACTTGTAATATTCTAACGGAATGGGCCTGGCTGTAATGCTTTTTGGTGATTGGTTTGACTGCTACCGCTACACAAGTAGATTTTTTAATGACAGTTAAATACATCAGGGTTGGTTTTTTTTATATATTTCTCCTAAGTATAGGAAACGTAAATATTGCAATAAAGTAAAATGTATTGTAGTAGGTATTCTGTTTAAGGCAGTAGCTGTTAGGGAACCTGTCTCATTTTTCTCTAGTACCGTGTAGTATCAGGAAAGACATTTCTGTTTAAGGCAGTAGCTGTTAGGGAACAGTACCGTGTAGTATCAGGAAAGACACGCCCGTTCAGTTTTAGGAGGCAGAGAAAGGAAAAAAGTAAAACTCCTAGTGTCTTGATGTCAAGATCATCCTCTCTCTCCTTTGATATGCCAGTGACCAGTATGGCAGAGAATCACTATGCCTTATTGGACAGTATTTATACAGAAAAATAAGGATCTCTGAGAGAGTGCGATATTTCTGTTGACCCTCAAGTATTTCATCTCCATAGTCTATTGCGGAATTCAGAACACTTCAAGAAAATTCTGCCCCTCCTCCACTCAAACTTGATTATGATTTTTTTTTTGTTAAGATATAGAATAGATTGTTGTTTTGTGCAATTTCATAGGGAAACTTAATTATGTGTAAGTTCACAGGCACTTTAGGGTGATACACAAAGTGGGACCAAAGCTGTCCTCCACTTTTCTTGTGGGATCTTAAGCCTGCTTGTCTTCATGGATTATCTCTTACCAAATTCTGGTTGCTATCTTAGAGAAGTCACTTACTTTGAAAACTGTTCTTATGGCAGTTTTTATAGGTAGGAGGATTGTTGGGAGTTTCAGGCTTTTCATTGCATGGATCCATGTCTGATTTTTATCTTAATGATTTGGTTTCAAAACTAGTTCTGTGTTTTCTGATACTTCCTCGTATTTATTTTTCTTGCTCTGCATGAACCCTAAAAAAAATTTAAAAAATGAGCATCTACAGCAGAGGTGGGCAATAAAATGGCAGCAGTATGCCAAGTTAGCCCCAGTGGGCTGCTACTACTATACTTACCTGTGCCTCCTCAGGTAGGGACAGTTGCAGTGCCTTTTCGACCGGGACACCACTTCTTGCAGCTCCCATTGACCAGGAATAGTGATCCATGACCAACGGGAGCTGCAATTGCACATACCTTTGGAGGTGCAGGTAAATATAGTAGCAGCAGCCCAAGATGGGTTAATCCTGGGGAGCTGGATCTGGCCCATGCGTCAGTATTTGCCCAACCCAATCTATAGCATTGGTCATAAAGAGAATGCTAAATATTTACTTTTGAGCCCTCTTGAGAGAGAAAAATAGTTAGCTGTTGGTTCATCCTATTGGTAGAGATATGCAAGCTTGTATATGAAGTAATGTGCTTGGTTTTGGGTATTAGGAAGTCCTATTGTTAAAAACTGAAGAGGCCCCAGACTCAATTAAGGCTTATTTCATAAAGATATTCACTGCTTTGGGAGTGGAGAGAATGGTTATTTCTCTTGCACAATGTATAGGAACCCTATTGGGAGGATATCTCTCTATGCTTTTATCAGTATTTGTAGCCTTCATGTACTACTGTTGCAGCTTCCTCTTTTGAAAAACATGCTCTGCAGACTCCTTTTCATTAAACATTTTACTCATCCATTGAATGCTGTGTTAGTCTGTTTTCTGCACTCCTTTAGAAGGAGACCTTGAGAATAATTTCTTTTTTGATTTGTTCCTTGTTTTACATCAGCTCGTGTCCTGCACATTGAGCTCAATTGGAGGATGTTTTTCACTGAAGGTTTTTTTGTTTGGAAAGCTTTTAAACAAGAAGTGTTCCTGAAGAATATCCCTAACAAAAAGGCATACTCAGAGTAATGTTTTTATCTCCTATTTCAAAGAAAAAAATATAACAACCTCTCTAATTTTTAGCAGTTGGCAGAGGTCAACATCGATTTCTGAATGAAATTAAGTTAATCCACATAGTTTTCAGAGTTCTTGAAAATTAAAATTGAATACAAGCAGAATTCAGGTTTCTTTGGCGAATGATCTTAAATGAAATCTTTATCCTAATTAATTTTAAATTGTATTCCTATCTTATAAGTCTGAGGAATATTTTCTGCTAAACTTTGTTTTATAAAGCACTCTTTTGCTTTCTGTATAATCAGATTCTCTAGTTTACCTACTTTAGAAGTGGTGATGAAGGTGGTTTGTAAAATATGTATAGTTGTGGTGTTGGCACATGGGCATGATCATTTTTTTAACCAATATTTTTACATTCATCATTAGAAAATAGCCATTGTACATTTTTTGTCAAGGTTAAGAAAGGATACATTAGCTTACTCTCACACAGAGCGCTATTAACTCTAGGCTCACAGCCTCCATTGATTTCACTAGGGAGGGAAGTTCAAGCACAATAATGCCATTAAAACCTTGGCTATAGAATGTCACTATTTTACTGGACTATATATTGCATGTAGGAGGCTTTAATAGTAAGTTTGTTTCTTAGATCTCACCTCGATCAATTCAGAAGTACAAAATTGACACCTCTTTGTGCTACAAGTATACCACTAGAGTGGTAGGAATGTGGTTACAGAAATGTGTCAAATTTCTGCTGCAATGATTGCAGAACAGACTGCAGAACCTGATGGCAACATCAGAGTTCATGTTATCAAGGACATTTTGTGTGTGTGGTACTCGTGGTTATCTGGCACACTGGTGTTAGTCATTAGTACATGTTACTGGAAGAATCAGTAATCTGGAGGGAACTCTGTTACGAATATATAAGGTATACAAAGACATTAATAGTGCTATAATCCTGATTCAGAAAGACAAGTGCCTAAATTTAAGCATGTGAGAATTCCTATTCTGTATACGAACCTAACTAAATCAAAGCCCAGTCATGGGTTGGTATGAGTAAAATGCAACATAATACCTGTAGTATAGAGTAGGGCCATCAACAAAATATCCTTGCAATGAGGGGAAAATGTGTAGACCATCCTCAGAATTCTCAGTATAATCTGGATCCCTGATGAATTTTTCAGGGGGGCAAGGATAGTACATAAAAGGTGTTTACAGGCATGAGGTCACACATTTCTCATAGGATATGAGGAGTTGGTCTCATTTTACTCGCGTACGGTTTATGAGTAGAGCTATTAAACAGATAATCTGAGATGCTTTTCTCTAAGTATAATCTTCTTTCAAAGTAATCTTTCTCCCAAAGTTGGCCTGGAGAACTTTTGTAGAAAAAAAAATCAGACTTAACTTTTTTCCAGTGTCAGACTAAACATTTATCATTTGTTCCCAAGTTTTCATTCAGCTCACAAAGATCTTCACACTATTCTTTGGACATAGGTATTTTGTCTTCATTGTATTCATTAAAAAGATATATTTAAATTTCCGCTTCATGGCCATTGATTTTATGCCAGCGCTAGTGAGTTGCACCTTCAGATGGTGCTTTATCCAAATTTGCATAGTAATCAGTTTTTCCTTTGTATTCATTAAAGTAAAGCTTTGAAGCATCTGTGCTTTGTTTTGCCATATACTTTGATCATTACATGGTAGTATCTTAATGAGTGACATCTAATAGTATGGATTGATATAATAAATGTTATGGAATCCAAATTACTGTTAAATAAATTATAAATATCTTCTACAACTATTCTGTGACATCAGAACATTCACAAAACTTGATCTACCTTAAAATTATTATAATTGGGTAGTAGTGGCCTCTTAATATTTTTTTAAGTTAAATCATCTTTCTAATGCAAAGAACAAATTAATTTTTAAAAATAATTCCTATATCAGTGCCTACCATATTTTGTTGTGTGTATGTGTGTGGAAATGAGCTCCCCTTTTGGATTTTAATTAGCAGTGGTTAATTCACAGAAGTTATGCTGCAGCTGAATAAACTAGAGTCTTGTTTGCTTCAGTTCCAAGAATGTTCCCCCTCACAGAAAAAAGACAAAACTTTCTAAGGAAAGAAATGTTGTTCAGACAGAAGTTATGCTGCAGCTGAATAAACAAGAGTCTTGTTTGCTTCAGGTCCAAGAATGTTCCCCCTAACAGAAAAAAGACAAAACTTGCTAAGGAAAGAAATGTTGTTCAAGCTCGTATGCAAATATAACAAAGGAATGTGTTTACTTAGTTCACAAGTTTATTTTTAATTAGCACTATAGTTTTTAAGAAAATCTATTTTTGAGAGAGAGAAATCTTTGATCATAAGAATAACTGATTTTAAATATTGAGTTGAAGTCTTGTTTTACACCCTAATTAAAAACTTCATAGCAAGTACTTCACCATTTCAGTTATAGTTATCATTACAAAAGTGGTGTTTGCATGTTACTAATAACATTGTCTCCCAGAATCATTTCACTCTGCTGCTATGCATGGAACATTTTCCCTATTCCAGTTTGCCAAGCCAGCATGCTCTTTCTATTAATGTTTTCTTTAAATCCTCTTTGGTTTCACTAGGAAGGATGAGTTGTAATAGCTGATAACCTAGAGCAGGGGTGGGAAACCTCAGGCCCAGGGGCTGGATGCAGCCCCTGAGATTTAGCCCTGCTCTCTTTCTCTCCATTGCTCGACTGTGGGGCTGGAGCACACAAAATCTACTATGGTGGGCCTCGTGTGTGAGGGCAATGTTGATCTTTATCCTGCTCCACCACTGATCTAGAGACAGCATTGGGGGAATTTCTTAAGGCCTTTCATCCTGTCTCTCCCCTCCACAAAAACTGTATGTGGCTTTGTTTTGGCTAAAGTCCTACATGTACTGTTTTCTTTGTGTTGCATTTTGTGATTTGTAATTCAAAGGCTAAAATTATCTGTATTTTTGTTTTAAAGGAACAGGCATACAAAATCATTCTACACTCTCCTGTTCCTTTCTTGTGGCAAATGTATATGAAACTTCACTAACACAGATTCATTTAAAACATTTTATTCTTTTTGTTTAACAAATTACACTCCAGATAATCAGAGAGAGGATAAATATACAGCAGTAGGAAAAATTATGCATCAGTTGTCTAGTGTACTCAAGTATACCTTTTGGATACATCAGATGATCCTCTGTTATGACTAGAGTAGAGAACTTTAATAAGCAATATTCAGAAGAATGTGTTACAGATTTTACATTTAACAATGAAAAAAGCCACTCTTCATTACGACATCAAACAAAAGGAAGGCCACTGGAAAATTTCAATTGAAAAAGTTACTTCAAAATGCTCTATCTGCATGGTATAAGAATGCTGTTGCTGAGACAGTATAAATTAAAATGCTTTAAATTTCCTGAATTCTTCTAGAGTAAAAAGAATTTTAGAAATAGTTGCCTAAAAATCTCTTTGAAATAAGAAATCAGTTTCATTTTATTTTTGTCCTTATCCATTTGCTGTATTTTCTGGGTACTAAATTGGCTACATTTTATGAGGTTTTTTTTTTCCGATAGTACAGGCAGTCCCCGGGTTACGTACAAGATAGGGACTGTAGGTTTGTTCTTAAGTTGAATCTGTATGTAAGTCGGAACTGGCATCCAGATTCAGCCGCTGCTGAAAAATCTGTGGCTTGCTTAGTACCCTCACCCTCCATCTGACCCCAACACTGCCCGGCCTGGCTCCCCCTTCCTGAGCCAGTGTCCCCTTCTCCACCTTCTCCTGCGTCCAGATTTCCTCCCAGAGCTTGCACCTCTCACCCTTTCCCACATCCAAATCCCTCATTCCCACCCCAGAGCCTATACATCCTGCCTCAACCCAGTGAAGGTACAGCTAGACTGCAGGAGTTGTTCAGGATTCCAGAGATATCCCAGAAAAACTCTTCTGCATCCAGGGATGTGTTTATTCTTCCTCTTCTTTTAGTGGAAGAGCAAACATGATCTTTTGGTCACCCCTATATTCCTCTTTCCACGAGGAATAAGGGGGCTTCTGAAAGAAGGTTTTTTTCCGACATTTGGTCCGGTCTAGACAGGCCAAATGTTGGAAAAACCTCTTCCTACAGAAGAATTGGGGGAAAAAGCAGCAGTATAAGGGTTGGGGATAGCAAGTGATGGAGAGCAGAACAGAGAGGGCGGGGCTTCAAGGAAGGGGTGGGGCAGTAGATCTTGGCTTGTTCTGTCATTTAAAAAGTGATCTTGGGTGTAAAAAGGTTGGAGAGCACTGCCATACTGCGTGGCCTAGTGTATGGATCCGCACATACGAACGGGGCTTTCTCGCCCCGGAGCTCTGGCAAAGCCTCAGAAGCGCGGGACCCCGCCGCGGCTGCGGGTTTGCTCCCGATGCCCCTGGTCTGCTGGAGACGGTCTCCAGCAGACCAGCGGCACCGGGAGCAGCTTTTCTCGCCCCGGAGGTCGAGGTGGCGGATCGCTGCCTGCGAGCTCCGGGGCGAGAGAGCCCTGTTTGTAAGTGCGGATCCGACATAAGTCGGATCCGTGTAAGTCGGAGACTGCCTGTATAGGTTCAACCCTCGGAACCTGACCGGTTCTGAATCAGAGAATTTTGTGGACCACAGAAGGTCAATATTGTCTAGCAGCATTGCCAATGCTTCCTGTGATGTTAGAGTACATTTAGGGGTAAATTAGAGCTAAATAACAGCACAGAATATTGAAAACTAGGACTGGTGGCTGTAAACAAACTTTATGGAACTGCAGGGAACTTTGCCACATCTATGAAAAGTGGACATCCAGCTAACTAAAATCATTCTGGACGATGGATGTTTCTGAATGAGAGAGTTCTGGATTAGAGAGGTTTAACGAATAATAACTTTGTTGGATTCTTAGTGAAATATTGTTCCTATTTCTCTTTAACAGTTTACCAGAAGTTTAAGAAACAATGTACTTTGAAGTCCTATCCTTGCAGAAGTTTACCATTGGTTAAACTAAATCTGTTTTATTTTTAGCTATTGACAGCTCCTCTACTACTAGCAGTGCCTCTCCTGTTACCAACAATTATGATGCCCTTGAAGGAGGTGGCTATCCAGGTGAGCCGTTACTGCATGTTAATTCTAAATTAAGGTACAGGCAGTCCCCGGGTTACATGGATCCGACTTACATCGGATCCCTACTTACAAACGGGGTGAGGCAACCCTGCACTAGCTGCTTCCCCCCAGCAGACCAGGGAGACGTGAAGCTAGCGCCCCCCTGCCAGCAGACCAGGGAGACGCGGAGGGGCTTTTCTCAGCAGACACCTCAGCTTGAGAATAAAGGACTGAGGGAAGTGAG